ATTTTTCCACATTGTGGTCATCCACACTGTTTATACTAAATCAGTACCAGTGCAAGAGGAGTGAAAGACCAGTAATCGGGATGTCTGTGGGGTCTTAAAAAGTGAATTTTAGGCCTTAAAATGATTTTGACAGGTCTTAAAAATGAATGAACTAAACATTGATTGTATAAAGGTGCATTTTTCTGGCTTTCTTTTTAAATGTGTTTTGGGGAAAAAATTACAACTACAAACTACAAAACAAAACCAACATAGAGCCAATTTTCCTTCATATCCTTCCTACTTGTTTTGCCAATATGGACATAAAATAGGTCCTAAATTGCATTCCAAATAGTCTTAAAAAGTCTGAAACCTGCAGAAACCAGTAGTAATATAGTGCTTTTAAATACCAGGAACATTTCCAGAGACTTTGTCATTTTGACTGCATGAATCTAAGCCCCTACAGGTTCCATCTCCAGAGGTATTATGTACTTTTCAGATTTACAGGAACTATAAAGGTAGAATCTGAAGTACTTAATGTCACTGACTGGACAAGTACGGGCCTCAAAAGTGCAGCAGTTTACAAAAAAAATTATTCATGCATTTGCTCATTAATGTCTTTGTTGATTGATGTTCCTTGGCTTATATATGGTTTTTGAGATTTGTTGGAAATGCAAAAAAAAACCATTTAATGTCTATATGCCGGGGGATTTTGTAAATGGCAGTGTGGAACCTTTTTTTTTATTTATGCGACACAATGACACGGTGCACTAAACCCAACCTGGCGACCATCTTAATTAGGTCATTTGTCATTTTCTGTGACTATGGGTACATGTAGACAGATGTACATGGGCACAAAACACACACACACACACACACACACACACACACACACACACACACACACACACACACACACACACACACACACACACACACGGGGAGAGTAATAAATAACCCCCAAGGCCTACACCAAAATCTCGTCACACACAGATGGTATGTACTTGATGAACAAACAACCTTCAGGCTCCAGACAAACAGTCGTCACTGGTCCGGGTGCTACTGCTTCCTTAGCATTGCTTGGCAATGTGACATCTGCTCTAAACACTAACTTATTTTCTTACCTTGAAACTGAAAGTCAGTCGCGAACGCCTTCAACCACTTTCCTGTGTTGATGTGCTGCTGACACTCTATACTTGTTTATAAAAAACATTTTGCACAAGTGTTGCTTTTGTGTTTTCTGCTGTTTGCACTGGCCAGCCCCAGGGCAACTGTATCTGGAAATCAAAATGTGCTCCCAGAAGTGAGAAAGTTGGACTTCATTTATGGCAGTCTGTGTTGCTCAAAAAAGCCCAGTGCCCAGACTCGGCTTACAGCAATACAGATTGTCTTACACTGATTTCCTTGGTGGGAGAGAATAGGCAGAGAGACAGGATGGATCCATTTGGATTTCAGCTCAAACCTGCTATTATTTTGTATTACTGAGTTACAAGACTCCAGATGTACAAATAACAAATAGAAATCATGGCCGTTTAAAAATAATTTCCTCAACAATGATTACAATAATTCCATGAAGGCTGCAGTAGAGAGTAGACAGTGGAGAAATGTATATCACATGATGTTAGCAGGGTCTACACTGACTTAAATTTAGCATCTACAGTATACAAAAAACAACAAAAGTAAATGCTTATTTTCCACATTGACAGGAAAGTTATTTTGAAAGTTAAATAGTGACACATGACGCTGTAGCTTTGACCACAATCTGATCACAAGCAGAGTGCTATAGGGTGACAATGCAAACACAGTGTTTTACTTTCATATACCCAAACTAGCCACATCTGCTACTTCTAGTAATATTGATGTTTGAATATTTAATTTCAAGAATCTTTTTTTCCCCCTTTAAATGGATATCAAGCAACTAGGAATTACATTTTGGCAATTTCAACCCACATACAAAGTAATGTCTGCTCTATGCGTATGGGTTTATGAGGATGTGTATGAATGACATAGAGGTGGTTTTAATTTACCAGTTTGTGTGTATACATATGTGTGTGTCTGTGTGTTAATATTGCGTAGGAATCAGATGAAGGTAGAAGTGGGCGTGGAGGCCAGGCAGTCACGGCGTGTGTTAAGTGTTTTTTTTGGCAGCTGCTACTGTGGCTGATTGCTGAGGCCCCTCAGTCAAGGAGATTACGACACACACACACACACACACACACACACAAAACACACACACACACACACACACACACACACATGCACCCACATTTCTATTCACGCCTGGGGTCAGTTATTCTATCACAGTCTGCCCCCCACCCTCCCCTCCTGTACCACACACACACACACACCGGAACACTGAGACATGTGCAGTGTACTGGTTCCCTGTGGATCCATAAACTCAATCAGCTAATTGAAACAGAAGATAGATAGTAAATCAGTGTGGTATTGCAGCAGGCTTTGGGACATACGGCTTTAGTAATCAGGCATAATGATCACACTGGTAGTTGGTATAAGGACATTTGGAGAAACACTGGCCTCTTCTGTGAATGTTCAAATATTCACAGAGCGTACTTTTCACATTCACTGTTGTCATAGAGATGTTTTAGTTCAGATCTATTTTTGCCTCATGGATTCTTCTGAAGCCTCATCAAACAGATTCAAAACATTTACTCTATATTAGCGTTGAATATTGGCAAGAATCTGGCAATACAGTAAGTATCACGATACAGTGGTTAAAATTCGGTATATATTGCAATACTGTAAGCAAGGCAATATATTACAATTCAAAAAATCTTTGTATAAGGAACAAATCACCATATCTGGACAGTCCCTGTAACACCCAACACCATAGCCCTCAGTTTACATTTACAACACTGCTATCTAGTGATTGGGGGTTTAAACGCAAAAATATATATATTGTCTTTTTGAGATTAGATTACAACACAAAAGAACAAAATAACAAAAATGTTCGATACTCATGTGTGGTTTTACATTTGAAAACCACACAGGCTCAAGTCACTGCTCCCATTCAAGAAATAATCCAGCACATAACCCCCCATAAAACAGCTAATTCTCATTTTCACACTTCGGTGTACAGCTTAAACACACCGGATATAATGTGTTAATTAGCATGCTGGTAGGTGGATATGTTAGCTTTGGATAACGCTAGGCTGGCTGTTTCCCCCTGATTCCAGTCTATTCAAAGCTAAGCTAACTATCTCTGTCCTGTAGCTTGTATCATTCTCATCATCTAACTCCTGGCGAAAAGGCTAATAAACATATCTCCCAAAATGTCGAACTACTCCTTTAAAAGGAAATAGAATTCTTTGTTGTCATGTGGTATCTAGGATGTGTCTCTCTCTTCTTGTATCCATGGTAATGTGCTGGAGCTTGGGGTCAGGTCTACTAGCTTTTCTCTCCTGCCACCTCCCAGCTCTCTTCTCCTCTGTCCCCCCCCCTCCGTCTCTGTATCTCTCCACCCCTCTCTCTTGCGCTCTGATGATGAAGCGCTTTTAGATTTGCTCGTTAAAAATGCATGTTTCAAATTCCCACTCTGTCTTAATTTTTTCATGTGATTTTTCCCTCTCTCTCTCTCTCTTTCCCACTTCATCCTCTCTCTGCTTTTCCAGTTTTCTGATGTCTCCGTGCATTCCTGTCTCTGTTCATTAACATCTCCCTCTATTTTTCTTTTTCCTCTCCCCCCCCAATCTGCGTCTGCCCCCTCAGTTCGGCTTGGTTCAATTTGTTTCAGTTCAGCTGAGATAAGATCAATGCAGCTCAGTTCAGTCCAGATGATTAAATTCATCCAGTTGAACTCTGTATATTTCAAATCCTTCAACAACTGTCAGGTAAACTTTAGTTTAATTCTTATGTGCTGATGTTAGACATTAACAAATTATCTTCCCTCCCTTTTTCTGTTTGCCTCCCTGTTTCTACATCCTTCTGTTTCCATGGTAACGGGTCATGGCTTGGGGTTGGGTTGTGTCGCTGGCGTTTCTCCAATCTCTCTCTCTCTCTCTGTGACAGCAGCTACTCACCAATGTCATCGCAGGGAGTTCAAAGAGCCCCTTCCTCCTCTTTTTACATCACCCAATGAGTTCAAACAGCTCGACCTGGGCTTATTAATGGACACTCACATAATCCACCGTCTTTTTTCTCTGAGCTAACTACAGTTTTAATGGCTCCATGTCTAAATGGGCCGGTGTTCTTTGTCTGTCACATTTGTTTTGCTAATGTGAGATGAATGGAGAGTCTCTCCGGAGATTATGATAATGCATTCGCGGTCACGCAGGGAAGCCTGTTTGCGGGAGGTGGGGGGCACTGTGTGTGTGTGTGTGCGTGTTGACGGGTAACCTTTCATTTGCGCGTGTCCCCCGCTGGAGGTAAAAGTAATAAAAATGACTGGGGACATTTTGGTTATTGATTGAGGGCCTCGTGTTCAGCAAGACACAGTCATTTACTGGTTATTCCTTGGAGAGCTGGGAGGATGTGCCGATGTATTCATGGGGCGCTGCATGTGTGACACTGGCCCGTATTGATGAATGAATTCGTGTCTGTTAGTTTTGAGAACCAAATATGCCCCTTTGTCTCAGTTATATTTTGCTAACTGCAGTTGGTTGCATTCATTAGAAGAGCAGTAGAAGACACATCTTTCACAATGTTTGTCAACCAAGCACTTCTATAGTAAGGTTTTAAATATTACACATTAGTCATTTTTAGTGAGTACCATTTAACTGCTTGTTCATGTCCTTCTGTCTTGCCTGGTTTGCATGATTGTAAGCTGTGCGAGACTTTGACTGAGTATTTCTTTGCCAAATGAGTTGTAATAAAAACACCAGCGCTACATAATATCACAGGAGATAGGGTAGTATGTGCACTGTTCTTATGATTAGATATCATATGCAGTATGAGATTATGCTGTCTTCTGGCGTGAGTGTACATAGTTTTAGAACTGGTTAGTTCAATTCAAAAGCAATTTTATCATTTTGGCTGAAAACCTAATGTCCTCCTTTTCATTGTTACAGGTTTGAACCACTTCCTGAAGACGGACAGTGGCAGAGATTAAATCCTCACAGGTAAGTCAAATATTGCATTTTCTGTTTAGTTATTGTATCCATTATTTGGATGTTGGTAACCCTGGGTAGATAGAGTTACTGTTGTCACTGAACCTGATTGTTGATCTGTCTTTATCATTTGATTTTAATCACTCATGGCTCTGCAGCTGGTTATTCTTCGCTCCTACATGCTGTGTACACACTGATGTTACTGGAAGTGTCAATCAGCTTCTCCTGCCAACACCCCAACCTCCTCGTGTTCTATTTTCTGATCACAGTTTCTGCTTATGGCGTCTGGCCTTGTGCATTCTGTGTATACAGTGCCTCAGTGATATGGGCTGTTGTGCTTTGTTCAGTATCCTTTTAAGGGAATTACTGCACTATAGCTTGGATTCATATATGCACTAAATGGACATACATTCTGCTGTATAGAGTGGCTGTCACTGACAGCACTGCACAACATGTTTGGGTTTGGAAATACACTGGAAAGGCATTTTATCTATATTTTTCAAACCATGGCTGTAGTTCAAATAAGAAAGGTCAGTTAGCATGGATGAAAAGTGCTGAGTGTTGAGGCGTGTCTCACAGGCTGGCAGTGACGGATTTATACCCTGTGCAGTCTTGACCCTTGCGCCCTCTTGGTATTTGCAGTTTATACAGAATCAGAATCAGAATCAGAGTTTGGTTTATTGCCAGGTAGGTTTTTACACATACGAGGAATTTGTCTTGGTACACATAAATATACAAATCACACAAAAATCACACAAGAAACAAGAACTTTTATACTTTTAAAATATAAATAAAAAAAGATAAGAAAGACAGGAAAACTGTACAGAAAACAGGAGTGCATTAATGTAATGCATATATACAGGGTGGGTTTAAGAGTCAGACTCACCAGGTGCAAACCCAGCAGAGTACAGTAGCTTGATGCCTGTTGTAACCTCTTTGAGAAATGAACTCATTAGAGAAGTGAGAGAATGTTAGTGAATAGATTTAAATTTACTGTACAAGCTGCATGATATAGGGTGTCAGGTTGGGCTCATGGTTTGAAAGACTGTTCTGTTAGTGTAAGAGTTCAGTCAACACGCGCGCTAAAAGCATTGCATCTTTTGGAAGACAGTGAAATGTAAACATGCAAGAAGCCTGAAGCCGACTGTAAAACAAAGACACTGAAAGTATCCACACATCCAGAAAGGTGAGAGGACAATGTGAACACCCAGCATGTTTTGGGACTTTAAATGTGACTGGAAAAATAGGAGCCACATGACCAGGCATCACCTCCTGCTCACCTGCTGCTGGACGTACCCATGTGCACACACACACACACACACACACAAACAGAGAGAGAGCGAGAGAGAGAGAGAGAGAGAGAGACACAGAGGGGTGTGAAACAGTGCACAGATGATGAAACATTTGTGTTTTAATTTCATTTATTATAACTACTTCCAAAGAATTCTAAAAATATGTATTAATTTGCATTCACAAATGTATATACATGTAGCAGCACGACTATTGGTATTCCATCCTAAATACTGAGCAGCAGCATGTGCCCATATATTAAATGTTCCCTGTGGAGTTGTAGAACTCTAGTAGCACTTTGGAGCTGAGTTTCAACGACGAGTGGGTCCCTGTTTTGTTTATCTCATCCATGGAGGTGACACGAATCACAGTCTTACCAATGGTGTCACACTATTCCACTGATCATCAGATGGCAAGATATGCACCAAGATATGCTGCAATGCACCAACAACAGCAGGAAACAAGAAGACTGCAAGTTAATCAATTTGGATGTAAACAATTCTTGGTTTGAATACTTGTTGCTGTTTAACTTCAGCTTGCAAATGTTTTATCAGGAAGGAAATGCACTGGGCAAACTGGACTATAGTTGGTTAACAAGAAAGCTCCGCAGGGCCCCTTTAATGAACATAGATAACCGACCTATAGCACACATCGTGCTGTACCTGCCTTGTGGAAAACCCATAAAATGAATTTGTCAGTAGAGAGCAATGCCTTAGTAAGTAGAACAGGCAGCACAGTATTACATAACACACCACTACAATGTTTCCACCTCCCATTACTATCATTGTTACCTGAATAGCACATGAGAGCACTCCACTATATTGCGCTGATCCGTGTTCGGTTAGTCATTATCATTTCAGTTTATGTAAAAATGGTTTGAATTCAATAATTGTACGTTGTGATGACATAGCTCCTCTCCTTTCCTCTCTTCTCCTCTCCCAGTCTTTGCCCTCCTACAGTTTCCCTCTCCTCCTCCATCCCTCTCTATATGAGTAATCCTGATGAACAGATGGGTGGAGGAGAAAAAAAAGGGGCATGCCAGCTTGTTGCGCCGCTATAACACCGTCAATCAGTCCCCTCCTCCCCCCTCTCACCTCCTGCCCCCTTCCCATCACATCATGCCCTTTTCTCTCCTGTCTGCTCATTTCAGCCTCCTCTACCTCACTCTTAGCCCCCTTCACACCGGCCTTTCCTCTATCCTTATATGAGCTCCCCTAGCCCTGATGGTGTTGTCGGTCAGTCCACTGATCTGCCTGACCATCTTTTCAGCTATCCAGGAAACCAAACATTACCAATCTCGACACTCCACAAGTAAAAAACCTAACATTTTTAATCCTACAACTGGCTCTAAGAATAGCAACATCATCAGCATCCTGAGCGTCCTATTCAACACTTTGAAGGGTGCAGTATACCTACCACAACCAAGGTCATCAGAGATGGATCAGGCCTAGTAAAATAGAATGATGTGTAGGAACATCATTCTATAGTTGTAAAAAAGGTATAACAGTCTTCCCTGAATGCCACACAAACAAATGCACTCCTGTACAAATCCACATACCCAGTAACTCATGTCATAGTTAAGTCCAGAGTCACGTACCAAGGCCACGTGCGTGTATCTGCTCATCAATACCTTTTACCTAGCAATAGCACCCAGGAATACCAATGAGACTTGGCTCGTTTACAAGCCCAGCTGGATTTATGTGGCCACTGTCACGTTGTCACACTGTATTAGAACGACTATTGATTATAGGGTCTTTTATTCAACATGCATGTGTGCTTCTCCTCAAACACACTTTTTCACACAGTTCAGATATGATATTTGATACTGAAGGAGTGCTGCAGGTTTTGCATGGTTTAGCAGCCTATCAGCTACAAGTTGTCTGCATTATACATCACTGCTGACCATTATCTAAAAGATACTGCACTATATTTCAAGATATGTTTTTAGACAGACAATACACTGATTTGATTAAAAAAAATCTGTGACAGGGAAGTACATGACGAGTAGGAGTGTGTGAAGGGCTGCAGAAATGTATGTTTTATATGAAGATGAGTATTGCTTAAGTCAGAAGGATTCACTCTATTTTCTGTTGCAGGCTGATGCAGTCGAAGTTGTAACATATTAAGATAGGATATTGTAAATACTATACTATCCTATCTCTATTTACCTTAATTTTCATTTAATTTTAATGTGATATATTAAATACACATACACGTGCACACACAAACACATACAAAGATGCACACACACACACACACACACACACACACACACATAAATATAACCACACACCAGCATGGCCCTCTGCTCTGGCTGAGCCCACAGCTTTTGATGAGATGACCTTAGACAGGCGAGACATGCACTCACCAACAAACACACATACACACACTCATGCGCACACGGGCAAACACCCAACACCCAACCAAGCCCCCGGCAGCCAACAAACCGGTCCATACGCCTGGCAAAATGTGTGCAATTGTCCAAATATCACAGCCCTATAATTGGATGTCAGATGAAGCGTATTTTAATGGCAGCTATCTGTAATGGCTTTTGATGAGCTACACATGGATGAGCCCAGTGCTTTGTTTTTTTTTTTTTTGTGCAATTATATTTTTTCAAAGCCAATCCTGTAGTCTTTGTTTACTCACGGTCACAATTTACATTGCCTATAGTTTAAACACATACACAACCTTTTTTGTCAAATGCCATTTTTTTTGGTCATTTTAGCTTAAAAATAGGTAAGAACACATTTACTTTGTAGTAATTTTTTTTTCATAGCAGTGTCCTATATCAGGCAGAGGGTGTGACACCTTCTGAGGTGTTCCCATTTTTTCACCTTTTGAGCAAGGACCACTCTGTTGCCTGAATGGGCCTCGAGCACAGCTGTTAAGATTCAGTTCACAGAAGGGCAGAACTGCTCACATTCCCTAAATAGGTAAAAGAAAAATGGGGATGGGAAATGACAATAAGATATTCCTTTTTTGTAATGGTTAAGGCTATTCATATCAGTGTGCTGGGAGATGCCTGGGAATTCACTGCAGTAGGGTTATGTTTTATGTTGCCTGTGGGGGGAGGGGTCTGAAGATCTTCACTTTGACTGCTCCTGTCGTGTTAGTACGCTCTTTCTCTCCAGCTCTAATTGTCAGTTATGACAGTGTCCAACCAATGTATATGGGAATCAGATTATCAGAAGAACTCAAGACACTCAGACAAAGACCTAAACATTCCTTCATAGTTTAGGTCACCTCCTTGTGTTTCACAACTGGCGATCCTGCCAGCTATGACATAAATCACACTTCACATTATGTGTACAAAGTGTTGTCACTTTAAGCTAGAACAGAGATAGCTAAGACAGCTGTCATTTGTCTCAGCAACTAGTATTCCATGTATATGTAATGGACAGTTTTCTCCACACATGACAAACGTGATTAAGATCAGTATAAATCCCTCTGTGCACATATTATACAACCTAGTGAAGACACAAGATACAGTACATGGCAATTACTAGACCTTGGCTTTTCTTAGCGAGCCTTAGAGAATCAATGGATAAATATTGTAAATGGCATTTAGAGCATGGAACATAGTAAATTTATCTGAAGATTAAAGAAAGGAAAGGGAGATTATTTGTCTAAATGGGACGTATACCTGTCTACCAAAGGGCATGACAACTCAAACTATGGTCAATGCAATTGTAAAAAAAAAAACATCGAAGCGAATGTGA